ATTCCCACTCTTTCTTCCATCACTGGTTTGAATTCTTCTTACATCTTGCTTTTTATTCTGTATTGTCTTTTGCGACCGTCTGCTCAGAAGAAGTATGCGTGACAATGTTGGCTTCATTTGACTGGATAAATATCAATGCATTTGTAGTTCTCAGCAGCCGGAGTGCGGGAGCAAGCTCGTTTCTTCACGCAGCAACTCATCAATTTCCGAGACACCATACGCAGGCTTCAAAGCACTGTAGCCAGGTTCGCACTGCTTCTTACCACTTCATTCCTGGGCCATCATGAGGACTTCGGATAGCTTATTTCAGATATGCCAGACAAGCGAAGGACTATCTCGTGCAACTGATCTCTGTCAAAAAGTACTGCCAGCGTTTCTTCATCGGCCCATACTATTTTGTTAGTTTTGATTTATCCCGATTTTTGGCACATGCACGAGATTGCACTTTGCGTTTTCGCACAAGACAGCAACCGCATAAAAGTTGATTTTATCAGTCGACTCAGGCAGTGAAAGTTGCCTTAACATTAATTTTTATGTGTTTTTGTTAAAATAAGAAGCGCATTCGACAAGATCGTGTTTTGTAAAGATGTGTAAATCTGTCCAACATCAGTAGTTTTACTCACCAGTTACAAAAGCTAGGGAACTGGACTTTTGGAGACATTGTCTGCAAGCATGCATCAGGTTGCTAACCTACATCGACTTATACGAGCGCGGTCCTTGAATCTATTGGCGCTGATATTCGGTTCAAGACTTAACTAAAATTATAACTCGAGAATGTGCAATGAGATTGAATTTTGCGAAATAGAGTAAAAGCAGTTGTTAATGATTGAGGTTACAGAATAGAATGAAGGGGCTTAGAAATTTCACCTTTTTATTTGACTATGGAGTTTAAGTCAATTTCGTGCATAAACTTAACTTATGATGCACAAGCTTGCAAATGCGATGATATTTTTGTGCTAAACTTGAAGCAGTCATTATCGTCAATAGTATGAACAGTTGATGCTTTCCAGTTTAACATGTGCATTCACGTTGGCAGTGTTCTGGTCTTTTCCTGCATGCAGGAAGAAAAAGCATAGTCTGGGATGGCAGCATTGCATCGTGGGGCAGCGTAAGGTCTTAATCTTCAGCATGCATGTTTAGTGTAAATTTTGCAGGACCGCAATTACAACAACTCGGCTCGGCTCGCCTAGCGGCATACACAGTCAGCAAAAAATTTTTTCTGTCGACAAGCCGGTAGGATAGGGCTGCCCTACGGCAGCTGGTGGGAGTTTGGATGTGGCAGGCGGAAGGAGGGATAATATGTAGCGGATTTTGTTTGTGGCAAGGGAGGGGGTTGGCATAGATGGATTTAAGAACTAAATGGCGTAGGTCCTTTGCCGCTTATTCTGATCACG